ATATAGCAAAAATGGCCCACATGTAAGGATGAAGTTTCTCCATTCAAAATAATTCAAACACATTTATTTTCCCGCCTTTGCTTTATGTTTATCATTCTGTAAAAATATTTGCTTTACAGCCACGCAAACCACCAGAAAAGCGACACGTGTATAGCACTATCTGGCAAAGGAATCAAAAGTACTCACACCAAGGCCTGAGTGTGACTTCCTTTTAACCACATCCATACACGTGTCCATAAGTACATCAATGGACAGCTCAAATCAGCGGGAGGGGGGGCGCTAGTAATATTAATACAACGCCCTCCCAGTCACACCGCTCACACCATTCAACCAGGTTTTTTAACTAATAGGGAGGCCTTATATGGCTAGTGTGAGTTCACTATTTACTACAACAAAATGCCTCGCCAAGCCTCTTTCTGTTTTTATGCCACGAATGTTTTCCTCACCTACCCACAATGCCCATGCCCAAAAGACAACTCTTAGAACTCCTCTAATCCCTTCTCCAACTAGTCTGTTCGCAAGAGAGCTCCACGAAGATAGAAACCGTCACTTCCATGCCATGGTTCAATGCACGAAGAAGATCCAAACCTCCAACTCGAGATTTTTCGATCTCATTGGAACCAACGGCAAAATCTATCATCCAAATATAGAAAAACTCCACTAGCCAACAGCAAGTCGACAATATATATAGAAAGGGGGCAAGTTCGTTGAATGGGGAGAATTTTCATCTAAGGGGAAAGTCCTTCGAAAAATAGAGACGAACTCTGGAGAGGAATACTTGCAGAAGTAGAAACGGAGGAACAATTCTTTGCACTCTGTAAAGAAAGATGTCCCACCGATTACGTAACAAAATACCCCCAATTAAAAACATTTTCGAGAGATCATTACAAAAGACAGAGGCTCCCATATACTAGCCCCTTTAATTCATTTCCTTTCTTAAATGAAGAAGTAAAAAAATGGGCAGAAAATAATATTTTGTTTGTAAGTCGAAATTTCGTTCAATACGAGTTATGTCAAAATTGTTGTCTCTCCGTTTGGAGGGAAGACGATTTCCTTAGATTAGGGATACACAAAAATAATATCAACCATTTATATACTGACGAAGAACTCTCCTCCTCATCTGATAACAGGAACCAGAACAGAAGCCCATCCGCCCAGTCTCCCTCTACCTCGAAGGACCCTCAAGAACAGGCAAAACCGCCTGGGCCAGAAGCCTCGGACGACACAATTACTTTTCCGGCAGAATAAGCTTCAAGGACTACGATTAAGACGCCGTCCATAACGTCATAGACGACATCAAATACTCGACAGTCCCGACCGAATTAATGAAGAATTTAGTAGGTTGCCAGAGAGACTTCCATGTATTTGTTAAATTCCAACCAGATCTCACTATTAGAGGAGGAATTCCATGTATTATATTAACTAATGGGGACAGTAATTGGTTAGATACAATGTCCCCAAAAATAAGAGAATGGTTTGATGTTAATGTAACCACTGCCATGATTAATGAAAAATTTTATTAGTTTTATTTATGAAACCACTTAAAGTTTTATTTACTTACTACATTTCCCTTATCACCAACTATTACATCTTGAGTCACATCACTATTTTTTACACTGATGATTACATTTCGTAAAACATTAGAAAATTCTGCTGAGAATTAGGAGGCTGCTACCTAAATAGATACATATATTGCACCCTCAAGAATCTGAAATCGACGGACCAGGATCAACATCACTAGTGTCATCACCACCTCTGCGTACATCAATCTCTGACAAACTCAGACGACCTCTGCATTCATGAATAACTGAACCACTTTCCCCAAAACCTCCTAACAACAAATCTCTTCGCCTCTCCGGTAAACCAATAGACTTAGTCCGTGTCAGAATCGGAATGGGTTTCGTTGGAGGACAATGCCAAACATCAACATTATTATTAGTATATTTTTTAGATAACACAACAATAGAGGGGGCCCTCATTTGAGAATCTTTTGGCATATCAAAAATAATATCAAAATTGTTGTCTCTCCGTTTGGAGGGAAGACGACTTCCTTAGATTAGGGATACACAAAAATAATATCAACCATTTATATATTGACAAAGAACTCTCCTCCTTATCTGATAACAGGAACCAGGACAGAGGCCCATCCGTCCAGTCTCCCTCTACCTCGAAGGACCCTCAAGAACAGGCAAAACCGCCTGGGCCAGAAGCTTCGGACGACACAATTACTTCTCCGGCAGAATAAGCTTCAAGGACTACGATCAAGACGCTGACTATAACGTCATAGACGACATCAAATACTCGACAGTCCCTACCAAATTAATGAAGAATTTAGTAGGTTGCCAGAGAGACTTCTATGTATTTGTTAAATTCCAACCAGATCTCACTATTAGAGGAGGAATTCCATGTATTATATTAACTAATGGGGATAGTAGTTGGTTAGATGCAATGTCCCAAAAAATGAGAGAGTGGTTTGATGTTAATGTAACTACTGTCATGATTAATGAAAATTTTTATTAGTTTTATTTATGAAACCACTTAAAGTTTTATTTACTTACTACATTTCCCTTATCATCAACTATTACATCTTGAGTCACATCACTATTTTTTACATTGATGATTACATTTCGTAAAAAATTAGAAAATTCAGCGGAGTCCATAACGACTGATCCTCTACGATCAACTTCATCTTTGCTAACACCAACCTTCGAAATCGACCGACCAGGATCAACATCACTAGTATCATCACCATCTTTGCGTACATCAATCTTGAACAAACTCAGACGATCTCTGCGTTCATGAATAACTGAACCATTTTTCCTAAAACCTCATCTGCTTTACATAACACTAGTACTTGGGAGTTGGTTCCTTTGCCTGTTGGTAAGAATCTGGTTGGTTGCAAATGGGTCTACAAAGTCAAGACTCATTCTGATGGTTCTCTTGAGCGCTACAAAGCTCGTCTAGTTGCCAAAGGTTTCTCACAGGAGTGTGGTATTGATTATGAGGAGACCTTCGCTCTTGTTGCCAAGATGACTACTGTCCGTACTTTGATCTCTGCTGTTGTTGTTCATTCTTGGCCTCTTTATTAGATGGATGTTAAGAATGCTTTTCTCAATGGCCATCTCACTGAGAAGGTTTACATGCATCCTCCCCCTGCCCTTCACCATTCCTTTGGACAAGTTTGTCGCCTTCGGCGTGCTCTGTATGGTTTAAAGCAATTTCCTCGTGCTTGGTATGATCGTTTTCAGACTGCTGTTACTGAGCTTGGGTTTCATTCTTGTACCGAGGACTCTGCTTTATTTCTTCTCCGCACCTCTGCTGGATTTGTTGCGTTGTTACTGTTTGTGGATGATATGATCATCACTGGTTCTGACTTTTCTGTTATATCTGAGATTAAGCAGTATCTTTTCCACACCTTTGAAATGAAGGATTTGGGCCTATTGCGGTATTTCCTTGGTATTGAGGTTGCTTCTTCTCCCAAGGGCTACTTTCTCTCTCAGGCCAAGTATGCCAATGAGGTTATTCATCGTGCTAATTTTATTGACACTAAGATTTTTGATATCGCAATTGAGTTTAATGTAAAGTTTAACACTACTGATGGTGTTCTTCTGGACGATCCTACTCTATATCGAGAGCTCGTGGGTTGCTTATTAATGGTTACTCGTCCTGATCTTGCCTATGCTGTTCATGTGGTTAGCCAGTTTGTCTCTGCTCCTCGCTCCACACATTCCACCTTGGTTCAGATTCTTCACTATCTCCAAGGTACTATATTTCAAGGTTTACTGTTATTCTCTATTTCCTCTCTGGATTTAGTGGCCTATACTGATTCTGATTGGGCCGTGATGTTACTGATCGCAAATCCATGTCTGGTTTTTGTATGTTTCTTGGCGATTCCTTGATCTCTTGGAAAAGTAAGAAACAAACTGTTGTTGCTCGCTTTACTACCGAAGTTGAGTATCATGCTATGGCTCATGCTACTGCTTCGTTGTCTTCTCTCTGACTTGGGCGTTCCTCAATCTTCTCCGACCTCTCTCTATTGTGACAACCGTAGTACTATTCAGATTGCTCACAATACTGTCTTCCATTAACGGACCAAACACATTGAGATTGATTGTCACTTTGTTCGACAACATCTGCAGTCTGGCTCTATCTCGCTTCCTTTTGTCTCCTCGGCTTTGCAACTTGCGGACTTCTTTACCAAGACTCACACTACCGCTCGGTTTCAGTTTCTTCTTAGCAAGCTCTTAGTGTTTTCTGCTAAAACACCTTGAGTTTGAGTGGGGGTGTGAGAATATATTGTGTATATTAGGAATTAGGCACGTATTAGGCAAGATTGTTGTATTGTGTATATATGGCATTGTGTGTATATATGGCATTGTGTATATTAGGAATTAGGCATGTATTAGGCAAGAGTATTGTATTTCCTTTTTTTAGTCATAGATTTGGGGCTATATAATGTAAACAAACAAATTGAAAATACAGACTTTATTCACAAATCTTACACATTCGACCATGGCACATGAAAAAATCCAAAACCATCTGAAGTTACTATTATGAGTACTTTAGTTTTAGAACACCAAAACTTTGGTTCTTTATGCATTATTGTGGCCTCAAAACCATATGCATTTCTTATATCCATGGAAACCATAAAACTCTACAATAAGACAAATCATAATCAGTCCTAAATGAGGAGCTTTTTGCACTGCCTACATCAGTTATTGGTAACAGAGCTCATATGAGGGTTCTTCACATTTGTCCCACTTCCATTTCGTTCTAAATTTGGCCTACTTATTATCATTTTAGCATGTTTAACTTTATAAATTTACTTCATGCCACTGGTGCATTAATCAAGCTGCATTGTGTGTGGCCAAACAATCTTCATTGACTTGCCTTGTTTTATCTTCAGTATCTGTAGATGCCATATTTATATTTTGAGTAATACTTTTTGTGACATTGCTATGACAAGATTGGCTTCATGGTTTTTCTTTGTGCTAATCCAGAGAAAGAAATTTATCTTTCCGAAGAATTAGAGATATTGGTGGACAATCAAATTGAAGAGCGACGCAACACCATAACAAGTCTTCCTGAAGAACTGATCATTAACATCCTTTCAAGGCTTCCTGCTCAATTGCTTCACGAATCTGTGAGGTCTGTCTGCATGCGTTGGGAATATTTAGTTAATGATCCTTTTTTCATTGAGGCACACCTCCGACAAGCAAAGACGGGTATTTTCATTGAAGTTATCAGTTCTCCCGCGAATTTCTATTTCTTTGAGACAAAAGGTGGCGAGTTCAGTTTCAGTTTGACTTATTACAAACATGAATTTCCTGGAAGAATGATAGCCAGTTATGATGGTATTGCTTTGTTTATTGACCTAATCGATATTACAATTTTGTATGTCATGAATCCTGTTACCATGGAAAAAACAAGGCTTCCTTCTCTTGACGAGCCTCCGAATCCTCTGTACTATTCTAGCTGTATTGCACGTGGTCGTTCTACCAGGCAATACAAAGTAGTTCATTCCTATGAAGATCTCAGTAGAGAATACCATTGGGTTGTGTTGACAATTGGTATTGATAATTCGTGGAGAAGAATCAGTAGTGAGCAGACATTTATGCGTGGAGATATGGAGTTGGACAATTTTCCGGTTTCTGTTAGTGGGGTGATTTATTGGACCGACTATGATTATGAAGAAGAGGATGGAATCGTTTACTTTCCTGCGATGGACGTGGATGATGAAACTATTCGCAAAGTCCCTATTCCACCAAGTGGATCGATAGAGCCTTGTGCTTATACGAAGATGGGAAATTATCTATCTGGTTTTGTAACAGCTCCACTCAGTTTGCAATTTGAAATATATGTTTTGAAAGACTGGCTCAGGGGAGAATGGGATAAAGTCTATGAGATCCACATCGATGCTCCTCGGGGCCTGTATTTCTACTTTCCTATTGGATGGCTGAACGATGATGAAATGCTTGTTTTAGAGGGCTTGACAATGGAGGGTGATATTTATATGGCTTATGATGTCAAGAAAAACGAGACCCGTGTTTTGGACTTAAGCATCTGTGGTCCTCGCTTCTACTCTCATGTTCACACCAACACCCTAGTTTCATATAGGATGCCGTGATGGTTCCTTGAGGTAAGTCCTTTCTTTTTTAGTGTGTGACAGTTATCGGATTGTGTTTGTGTTTCTTGTTATGACAAAAACTTCATTTGCCCCTTTGTTTTCCGTTATCGTTTGTCGTGCAAACTTGTTCTGAGATGTTGGGATTTTGATAGTTATATGACAATATGCTTATATTTGAGACTGGATTTTATAAAGCTTGGCTAGCTTTATTTGCATTGTCAATTTTTGGGCAACAATTGGTTGCATGAGTTGGCCTAAGCTATTATCTATATGATCTGTTGTGTTTTTCGCATCACCGTTCCTCTTTAAGAGGTGAAAAGGTTATTTTTGAAATTTTATTTTAAAAATGTGTTCTCAGCTGAATGAGATCACGGTAAACTTCATCAATTTGTAGGGATTGAAGTTCAATGTTTCATGGAGATCGCGTCACATTTTTTTATTTATTGCAACTATATTTTGATGTTGAATTTGGTATCTGATGGCAAATTTGCATTCAGAGTTGTGGATCCTGTTCACGTGTGAAGTTTAATGTGTCCATCATTAGGCCGAAAAGCTCGTGGCCCAGCCGATGCCCACCTGACTTGCTAGGCTTTTACCTGATTCGGGTCCTTATCTCGAGCGAGCTGGGTCAACTTAAATAAGGCTTGGGTTGGGCTGGGCATGTGCACAAGGGTTGAAGTCAGGCCCAGTCTATTGGCCCGTTAGAGGTAGTCTCCGGCTTAGCTTGTGAGCCTAGCAAAAAATAAGAGAAAATAAGAACGGAAAGAAAGCCCAAAAGGGACCCGAATCATGGACAGTGTCATATATAAATGGACATACAGCCTTTTTTTTTTTTTTTGGGAAAAACTTATTTAAAGCTTAAAAAGCAAATAATCTGAAAAACTGGTTTTTTATTTTTATTTTTATTTTTTATATCAAGTACTTTAACTTCTTAAAATATTATTGCTTAAACTAAATAAATTGCAAATTAATTTTGTCAAATAAAAATTTCAATGAAAAATTGGCACTCACAAGAAGAATGAAAATAGAGCAATTTTATCCATTGCTGTCAACGATAGTGATATGATTATGTCATGTGAATGTCATGAATTCACAGTTATTGATTTGTATGGAGTCCACGTAAATCCTATACAGATTTGTGATTAAAATGAGTTTGGAACATTGTTTCAATGAACACAATATTCAATCCTGTGTCACCATTTGGAAATGAGGTTATTATGCAGAACTCTACTGGCTGTTTTGGTAAGATAGCTTTTAGCCACTTTTTTAGGTTAGTAGCAGAAGTTAAAAATTAGTTTTTTTGGTCTTTTTTTTGCATTTGAGAAGTTGGGTTTTAACCAACGGTGAAATTATAATTCTATCTCTTATGAATTAAAATGTGTTACATGAGTAAAATTATAAATATTTTAAATAAATGGGGATAGTTTAGTTATTTTATTATGATTTGATATATAAATAAATATTAATAAAAAAGGTCAAATGTAATTTTTTATCAACTTCTTAAATCATTTATCTAAAACAGTCAAAAGCTTAATTAAAAATTAAAAAATTATTTTTTACCATCTTTTCAAAATAAGCCACTATATTTCCATGTAATTATGCTTAAAGGTAATCACTATTGCATAGAAAAACCCAAAAGTCATTTAACATGTTTTTTATTATATGCTTTTCAAAAACATGTGGTTTTACTTCTATTGTAATTTTTTAATCAAAGGTGATCATATAATACACAAACAAACTCAAATCCAATTGGCTGAAACACTGAAAAGCCAAGCAAGAGCAAGAGATATCAAAGGCCTCAAACCTTTACCAGGCTCCGCTATGCGTGACCGCATCAGATTTCTGCTCTGGAAACGTGACGAGTCAAAATAACCTTATCCAAAACTTTGTTGGCGGCTCTATTTTCCTAATTGGGGTACACGCGTCGGTCAAAATATTGGCCACGTGGGTAGAAAACTTAAAGTAGGAAACTTCCCATGCTGGTTCGATACATTTTCTAGAAAAAGAAAATATTTGTTGGGGGCGGCTTTTCCATAATAGAGATATTTTTGAGTGATTTTTTTTGAATGATTGAAATTCAATTTTATAAAAGTTGTATTTTAAAAAATGAGTTAAAAATTACTTCATAACTTTTAATTTATTTTTTTTTCTCATAAAAAATTAAAAAAAAAAGTTAAAAAGTAATTTTTAACCATCTTTCTAAAATATCTCATAATAATGTGGGTGTTTAGGAAGTGAGTTTTTTTGTAAGTTTTTTTAGTTGTAGGATAATATTGGAGAAATTTTTTTTTGTGTTTGGGAAGATAGTTGAGTTTTTTTGTGGTTAGATGTGATATTTGTGAGAGAAAAAGTAAAATAATTATGGGGTTTGATGTGATATTTTGTTTGGATTTTTTATTTTTTTTATTTTTGTAAAACATTTGTCTTGTAGTGAAAAAAAAATAAAAAAAAACCCTAAAAACTAGGTTCCCAAACACCCCTATTGGGTGGAGAGTATAATAGTATTAATAATAATTTTAAGAACAACAATGATACATCCCACTAATTTGGGAGCACTAATGGACCACTAATGAGGTGGAAATTCAAAAAAAAAAAAGAAAAAAAAAACTTAAGGCCAAACAAAAAAAAAAAAAGAAAAAAAAAAACTTAAGGCCAAAATATCACATCAGTCAGTGGGACCCACTCTCTGGAACTCCTTTAGTGCTCCCAATTTAGAACTCCCAAACATTTTTCTTTTAAGAAATATCTCAATCAAGGATGGATTTGGGCATCATTTGACACATTATTTTAGTAATTTTTTGACTTTATACGAAAAGATATATAGAAAAGTAAACAGAGTGATATGACAATTTATATTGACCTTTTGACTAAAACAAAAGGTTGTCAAATGAAACCTTAGAGGGGGAACAGAGAGAGCCATCAGGCCCTTACAATGTGAGTGTTTGGGAAGTTGTTATTTTAGTAGGTTTTTTTAAGTTTTTGATTATTTTAAGAGGTTAAAATTTTTGTGTGGGGATATATTTTCTGAGTACCAACACGTGGCCAAGGTGACGCCGAGGTGCCATGTGTCGTGGTCTTAACGCCGAGATGATCTCGGCTAAGCCGAGGTTATCTCCGAAGATATCGGAATCTGGGATAAGTAGATAAGGGACAAGAGTCCTAGATTAAGGAAGGACTTCAGTCTGAATAAGGATAAAGTTCTTAAGGAGTTTATCTTTATCTATTGAAGAGTCCATGATAAGCACTGAGCAGAAGTCCATTGAAGCTAGGCTTCTATTGGGACTAAGATTGAGTTAACTATAAAAGAGAGGCACCCCTATGAGTTTAAAGTATGTAATTTATATTCTGAATAGTGAGTTAAGCACTTGATTTATCTTTGAGAGATAACTGACTTGATCGTCGGAGTGGCCCCGAGTGGACGAACCACCACCGGAATCTCTTCTTTCTGTTACAGGTCAATCAGGCGCCATTTATTCTGTTAGTACTCTCCAGCTGAATACTGAGTTGACAGTGTGGTCAGAAATTCACTCATACAATTTGGCGCCGTCTGTGGGAAAGAAAGGAGAATAGATGGCCAGCGACGGACAGAAGGATAAGGTTGGGGGCGAAATCCCTGCTGGGAACGATAAACACGTTGACCCAAACGTGGAGGAAGATGGTTGCAATGAAGAGACTCAGAACCAAAATCACGGTAAGGAAGACGTCGACCAGGAGGGTAACGTACCACAGAAGTCGGACCGAAGCAGGTATTACAGTGAGAACGACCTCCAAGTATGGAAGGATAGATGCCTGCGAAAGGACGAAGAGGTAAAAGAGATGGCAAACAAATTGGCTGACCTGCAATCGGTCGTTAATTTTATGATGCAAAACAACGTCATGCAGCCATCATTCCCGCTGCAGGACACGTCGGTTCCAGCGGCCAATGCCCAGAAGGGAGAGTAGAAAACAATCTCTATAGCCCCCCAGCACACCAGGAGCAAAAGACACTCTCATTGGCCTTCAAGGGAGGTCGGGCGAGGAGAGTTGAGGAGGGAAGAATTTCGAAGGACACATCGCACCAAGGAGGCAGACCCTAAAGAACATCGGCATGTTCAAAGGCAGGCACTGTGCTTCGACACAACTCATGAAGAAAGGTCGAAGAGGGCTCACAATGAAGCTGAAAGTAGTGCACCAAAAAGATTGAAATCAGGAGATAGCCGAGCTCCTGGGCGGACAAAGGAAGACTTGAGAGATTACCTCTAGAAGAAGCAACAAGATGCCGAGGTAACCTCTCCTGTTAAGCCGAAAACACCATTTTCGGCAGAGTTTGACAAATTTGAGGCCCTAAAAAGATTCAGTATGCCGAGGTTCCATATATACGACGGAAAGTCAGACCCCAACTTTCACGTCGGATTATACCTAAACTCGATGGCACTATACACTGGGAACGAGCCGTTACTCTGCAAGGTGTTCCCCTCATCATTCGAGGAGATTACATCAGATTGGTTTCACAAATTGCCAAAGGGAAGTGTGAAGACCTGGGAAGGCCTGGCCGAGATGTTTGTGGCCAGGTTCGTGACCAAAAAACTACAGCCATTAAGGGTAGATGCTTTGATGGCTTTGAGAATCAGCAAGGATGAAGGCCTTAGGGCCTACGCAAAAAGGTACCGTGAGGTGTTCAACCGAATACCCGAGTGCAACCAAGAGGTGACGGTCGTATCTTTCAAGAACGGCCTAAAAGATAACTGTCCACTACGAAAGTCTTTGGCAAAGACATTGCCAAAAAGCATAGAAGAGCTCATGGCCAGAATTGAGAAGTATGCTAGAGCCGAGGAAGACACATCGAGAACTAAGGAGACAAAGCAAGAGAAGGGAAACGGCTCGCCAAAGCGAGGCCGAGGTAACAATGGATCCAACAAGCAAGATATAGGACTGAGGGCTGCACAGGCAGTCATAATTGTGTTCCGAATCCCAATTCACAAAGTCTTGAATAAAATCCGATCCCAGCCCTATTTTAGAACGCCAGCTAGGATGCCAGGAGAATTCATGAGAAGAAGCCTTGGTAAGCATTGTGCTTACCATAATGAGGATGGGCACCTGACTCAGGGTTGCAGAGCCCTGAAGACACACCTAGAAGACCTGGTGGGGCAAGGCCACTTGAGGGACCTTATAGATGAGGCCAGGACAAGGGAAGAGCAGGCAAGATTGCCTCAAGCACTAGCAGCTCCACCCCTCCAGC